CAACACCTTGAGATCGAGACAAGCCAATTTAGTAGCCATTCTCGCTTTTGTCTGTGGCAACAACACCTAGATTTCCCGTGCCTTTTGGATGAGCGCGAAACGCCGGTCACCTATGGCAGCGCTGCCTACGTAGCGGTAAGGGTCTTTGTACTTCGCGTTCAAGATTGGCAATTTTGGCGCTTGCTACTGATTTCAGAGTATGCCCTGTTCAAAAAAAGTTGCTTGCTGAATGACGGCGTCACTTACGTATAGCTAATTATAATTACGTTTACACTTTTTATAAACTTTTTTACCTTATTTTTGTTGCATATAAGCTCCCAAAACGTAAAAACGTATTTGAAGACACCCCTACTTGAGCGGTGCCACCACCGCAGTTCCGACGACCACCGCTTCCCAAGGGACCGCTGATAATCCGGCACGCACGGGAAATCTAGGAGGCGTCGGCTGTGGGAGCAGAGTTGGCGAGTCAATTGTGCGTTAGGCCTATTTGTGCGGATAAGTGCGGTGGATCTCGGTGTTATTTTAGCCCGATGGAAAGGAAGCGGCCGCACCATGCACTCTCGCTTGAAAAAAAGCTGCAAATTCTTCAGGAGCTCGATCGAAGCGGCCTGCCCAAGATGGAGGTGACGAAAAAATACATCTCGAAATCGCCGCTGTCACGGATCTGGTAAGACAGTGAAATGATTGAAGGCATATTTAAGAACGGGAACTTTACATCTAAACGGATGCGGGTGCAGACGGTGCCTAATAAACAACTAGAAAAAGTTCTTTTTCTGTGGTTCAAGTGCGCACGAAGTTCCAATTTGCCCATAAGCGGACCTATTCTCGAGCAGAAAGCTCGAGAGATCGCCATGCAAATGGGTGTTAAGAACTTTGTCCTAAGCGACGGATGGCTCAGCCGCTTCAAAACCACCATGGCCTAGTCTTCAGAGCAATCTCAGGTGAGAGTGTTGCAGTCAACAGGGACATTTGCACCGACCAGCAACAGGGGCGGCTTAAGGAAATTTTGATGAGCTTTGAGCCACGAGATGTCTTCACCGTCGACGAGATGGGTCTTTTTTATAAGGTGCTTCTATCAAAGACTCACCTTCAAGGCGAAGCCTGTAGAAGAACACAGTAACGATCGCATCACCGCGCTGGTGGGTGCAAACATGGCAGGAGATGCACAATTGAAGCTGTTGGTAATAGGAAAATCAAGGCACCCACGCTGTTTCAAAGGCGTTTGACACCTTCCCGTTGCGTACCATGGGAATGGAAGAGCATAAGTGACCATAGCCGTTTTCGAAAACTGGCTTCGGGGGGAAGACGCAAGATTTACGAGGCAAGGCAGGAAGGTTGTCTTCATTGTGGATAATTGCCCAGCCAACGGGCAGGTTCAAGGACTCCAAGCCATCACTCAGGAGTTCTTGCCAGCCAATGCAACGACAGTGATCCAGCCGATGAATAAAGGGGTTATTCAAAACAATAAAGTTCATTACCGCAGACGAATTGCTCCATCAAATGCTGCTTATGGCGCCAACCTCTACTTATATACATTTAATTAAAAAAAAATGCTGCTTAGGGCATGCAGCGGGAAATTCAACAGCAAAAATTTATTGGCAGCCATCTACATTTTGGCTTGTGCCTAGGAGCAAGTGAAGGCAACAACAATACACAGATGCTTTCACCATGCTGGCTTTCAAGAGCAAGAAAGCAGTACCTGATGAAGAAGGAAGCCCTGCTGATGCTGACATTGAAACAGTATTCCGTCAGGTCGTGCCCTCTGCCCCTTTTACGCTGAAGGAGTACAAATCAATTGATGAAAATGTTCGTACCTATCATCACGAGGCTGTCGAGGTAATGATTGCTGAAGTGAAAGATTAGGATCAACCTTTCAGCGATGAATGTGATGATACTGCCAGTGCAGTGGTGCCACCAGACCGATCAGCTAAAGAGGCTGTTGAACTATTGCAGCGCTATCTTGAGCATGAGGCTTGTCCAGAATTTCTAGCTAGTTTGTCAGGCATGGATGCGTATCTTGTGAAAAAACAACTCAAGCTTGCCAAACAACCACTTTCACTCCTTTTTTTTTTTTCCTACTCATCCTCATGAGTAAGGTGAGGTTTGTGCAATTTGAATAAAAGTCTTGGTTCACTAAATAAGTGAACTTTGTTTAAATGAAACTTCTGATAAATGGGACAGTTTTATGAATCCCCTTCGAGTTCTATTTAAGAGGAGTCGACTGTAATTCAAAATGCATTTTTTTTGTATTTTCGTGACATTGGCCTGAAGAAGTTTTCTGAAACTTCGTATGCTAGATCTATGGCACCTACAGATGACAATGTACTTCATATTTATCGAGTAGAAGTTATATAAGACCCAGTAAGCGTCTTGATAATTTATGACGTCCCAGCGTTTGGTACAGGAATATGAAAGGTGGCGTCTGCACCCACATTTTTTGTGCGCTTTCTTGATTACCAAACATTGTGTCACGGTAAGAGTGGTGTTTTAGGAATTGTGAAATTGTACTTCACTAATATGCAAAAAATAGTTTTGCTCTTTAGTGTCCCTTTAAATATGCTTTTATTGTGAAGCCGCATGAGTTGCCGAAATGTCAGTCAATTTTGTGTCCTTTTAGTTGGTGTATCCTAAGGTGTTTGCACTAAACAATGACAGTTATGAGGTGCCTTCTTTTCCCACCTCTTCTAGCTGTTGACCGTAGTCAGCTGATCTTTGATCAATGGGAATGCGACAGGCGCACAGACTGTTTCGATGACCTTGCCAAGTTTTTCAGAAATTTTCTGACTTTTTCAGAAGGGTCCCCTGATTTTTCCAGGTTGATAGACACCCTGGAAAGCACACGAGCCTCAAGCACTTTCGCCTCCATGAAAAAACACGGCCCCACGACTTGCGGACCACTAGACCACCGTGACGGGTTTATGAGACTGTATTAAGGAAGCGGCTCAGTAAAGAGGCATGGATGAGACGATACAAATTGTGTTCCTTTATGCCATAGTGTGTGCCACAAACTCTGCGGACAAGGTGCAAGAGCACTTTCGTCACTCCCTCGAGTTCCGAATGGTGAAAGCGTTACGGCTGTTGTCCACTTGTTGAAATGTTGGCCCCTCTTCAAATTTTGCCAATATTTATTACAAAATACACATGATGTTTTCAACTACCGGCATGCTATGTTTCCATCTGTGATGAGTGAAGAAAACGATGACACCGATGGAAGTGCGGGACAAGGCGCGTGGGATTTTTGAGCCAACTGTGTGCGTGAGGTCAGCCAATCAGCTGATGACCTGTGGTGGCCCATAGAGGTGGCGTACCACGATTGGGCCACGTGTGACCATTACGTGGCGGTAAGCTTTGTGGCTGGGGACGAGCCGAAGCAGCGGCAGGACGGAAGACAGCGGGCCGAAGCGTCGCACGCAGGCCATCTATGTTCTGGCCAGGGAACGCGGCTGTCCACGCTACTGCCGTCCAACTACCAGCTGGAGTGACGATGCCGGCACGAGTACTGCATCTCGGGGCGCGGCCTGGCCTGCTGTTCTCTTCCTTGCCGAGGACATCGCAGATCTTGGCGAGGCGTCTCCGTGGTCAGACGTTCGGCACAGCAACACACGTGGCCTGGCTAATGGTCACGGTTGCGCCGAGCATCGCGTCTCGACGCAAGCTGTTCGCTGGACGGGCTGGCCATTTAAACGCATGGAGCATCGCGTCTCCGAAGTGGGTTGATGCTCCGTAGTCGCACCCACGCCGTCAAATGCCGTCGTCACCAGAGCGTCGCACATCGGCAAGTGAGCCCATTCTACAGCGCCTTTCCACCGCCTCCTGCCCTGCACCTCATCGGCGTCTGTCGTACCGCCGATGTGGCCCTCAGGTTTTCGAATGCTCTTACTTGAACACTAATTGGTCGTTTTTTCAATCAAGCTTAGTTCTCTCTGTCCCATTGTATGTATTTTTTCTGCCTCAGTGTTTTCTATGTTTAGTTTCCGTGTTCTGTCATAAACGTCGTGTGTGCTGTTACCGCGTCGTCTCAAAGTCCATTTCTCCTCGCACAACACGCAAAACAAGCGTTGACGAACCTTGGCCCCGATAAAGAATAAAATTTTTCATTACACCATCTATCCCACACTCCTAAGACAGGAGCATTATTGGTCTATGTCCTCATAACGCTTTATTCTGTGGCTCTTTTATATAACAATGATTTAGTAGTAGAGAGTTTTTTAAATGAATGCAATACTGATGCAATCGTTAAAGTGTTACATAAAATATGAAATTTTAGAAATTAATAAATATTGTGGGAGAGCATATGCGCTTCCTTTTCCTTAATTGAGGCACAGCCATGAGGGCAATTCGGTCCCTCAGAAAGTTACACTGAAGGGACAGGTTACTCTGCCTCAGCGGGGGAATGAACCCTTGCTGGAGAAACCGGGGGTCAACAAAAGTGAGAAGCAGACTTGCCAGCGGAGACCCCTGTGAGCCACGGCCATCAACAAAAGGAGTGAACCTAACCCTTTAGTTCCTTTCATAGAGCGAAATAACCAGCTAAGCGACATCTACGCAGTTTTTCTAACACAGCAATAAAGTGCTGTTTGTCGGTCTAGCCTGTTGCCTTATTAGCTGCGCTGTCTACGAGAATACGGGAAGGGGATGTGCACAATAAGACTGTGCGCGGCTGGAACTGTAACTGGGTTTCTGTGCCAGCCATGTCCGACCTGAAAGCATAACATTACATGGTGCCATTTAAGTTCCAAGCAAAAGACTTTCCACGGGGAGGAAATGTTCTCACGGCAGTTCTACATAATAATTCGAAATCATTGCATTACCAGGAGTTCCTCCAACCTGTTGCAGCTTAGTCAAATGCAGTTTCATTAAGTTGTTTTAAAGCAGCAATAAATGCTGCTGTTACTCCCCGCTCTGTAGCTTTTAGTACAAGACGCATAGTCGATGTTCAATTCCCATACAGACGCTCCAAACAACACAAGAAAGGTAGGGCAACTGTCGTGATTACTCACCTGCAAGCGGCCAGATCCTTGAGCACTTGTGCCTTGTTCTTCTCCCTGCGCTCGCCACTCTTGGACGATTTCGTGGTTTGGCATGGGGAAGCAGATGAGGAGCCACCTGCCGCCATTGATGAGGATGACTCGGCAGTCCTTCTTGCTTGGGCTGCTCGACTCCTTAGTTGAGTCGTGATGGCCTTTGGAAGGGCGCCCCTTTTTGCGGCCCTGTGTTCAGAAAGCAGGCAAAGAAGTTCCACATACAGCTCTGATGAGCGCACACTGCTGCAAGCAGTGTTGGTCCAGCCAGTTTTGCATTTGGAGCAATTTTTGGAGCAGGAAAAGAGCCATTGTGGAGCAGATTTGCAGCACCACAATAGCGAGGGATAACTTGTAGTAGTACAGTAGTGCATATTCTTTATTATTATTCTATTTATTATCAACAATGTATGTGTGTTGACAGACTTCACTGCGACCCAGATGTGCATTCTGGAGGAGCATAAGTAATGAAGCAAGCATAGTACATGGTGTCTGTGAGTGGTTGTCATTCCTTCCTAGTTTTCAAGAAAGAAATTGTGTGATCCCCTACCCTCCCCACTACCAGCACTACTGAAAATTCTCAATCTTGGAAACTGGCTTCCGCAAAAGTTTTATTAAGGCCCTGGCGAGAACTAATTCAAACACATACTGTTTAATTCTCATTAGTTATTATTTTAAAAAGCACTTTTGTATTGCACTTCCCGAAGAAGCCACCGTCAGCCGCTTACGCATTCTGCAAATAGGAAGGAAGTCACTCGGCAACGGTGCTCCAGATCACAGAACTCCACACTGAGGGCACTCGCGAACCTAGTTTGTAGCATGTGCCCAAGTGGGACTCTGTTGGAAAGCTTTCCAAGATGAGAGCGACTTGTATAGCCTTTTTTCTTGCGGCTGACGGCAATGTTAGCTGTTAGAAAAAAGAAACTTGTTATTTTTGGCTCGTGCAGCATATCGGTGTTCGCATAGATCAATTTCTATAGCACGCTGGTTTGCCATCATACTATGTCCGCTTTCAAATTAAGACTTGTGACAACTGCTACAATGCAATATTGTAATTCGAAAAACCTGTCGGTATAATTTATGCTCTGTAATAATCCTGTTATGAATTTTTTTATTATTTAATTATTTTTTCCTATGATGCACTCCATCGGCAGTGGCACTACATTGTGCCTGACAGCATGCTTGCACTCAACGAATTGGTATGGTGAAGAACCTAGCACAGAGCGATTAAGATGGAACACTTCATTTTGCAAAATATTGCATGTAGAACTATTAATATGCAGGAAGGCGCCTCGTAGTCATGAACTGTCAGATGATGCCAAATACAGTTACAGTGTAGACCGCTTATAACGTAAGTCACGGGAGTTGTAAAAATCCGCGCTATAAGCGGTACCGCGTTATAACCAAAGCATGCTTTTTTCGGCCTTTGCCTATGTCAAAAGGGCAACCCACCTTTCAAAAGCTATTTACTACACTTTTCACTCGCAGACACATTCAACACAATCACAACACCGCACGGAAACAAAGTTCTCAAGTCTGGCATCAGCAGAAAAACGCCGTTATTTTCGTCTGGCGATGCTTGCGAACAATTTCGTCCTCCACAAAGCTTAAGCACTGAAGCGATTTCTCGCTCAAACTGTTTTTCGTGCAGTGCGTTTTCACTTTAGCGAGGTATTCCAATGCACCTTTGCATGGGAAATCTGGTTCTGGCGTCAGGTCGACATCGTCTTCGCCGTCCGACTCGTCGTCCGTTGCAACCTCCGCATTACCGCGCACCGCTGCGACGATCGCGTCATCTGTGCTCGCTTCCTCGCAGACAGGAAGCTCCGACTCCCCGGCATCGACAAATTCTTGGAAATTGTCGGTAGTGGTTACAAAGTTGCTGTAAACGAGGCAGGACCACACGTCGTCAGTGTTGAGGGTCTCATCAGCGAGCGACGTGTCACCCTGCTCGTCTTCCAGAGCCTCTGCATTGCGCAAGAAGCCTGCCCTCTTGAAACACTTGCTTATGGTATCGGCCTTTACCTGCCACCATGAAGCGACCACCATGTCAATTGCGCCTCTTAAGTTCACTTTAAGAGGCTGCTGCTGCTGCATGCTCAGCAAAACTCTCTCGCAAATGCACTTTTTGTACAGCGCCTTTACGGTTGCGATGACACCCTGGTCGAGAGGTTGACTTTTTGCTGTAGTGTGGGCAGGCAAAAACTTTAGGTTGACTGCGGTCAACTTCGGCTTGACGTTGTGGGCCGTGCAGTTGTCGAGGATAAGCACGATCCGCCGCTTCTCTACCTACCATATCCTCATCAAACTTGCAAAGCCAGCTGGTGAACAAATCCTGCGTCAACCACGCCTTTTTATTGGCTTTGTAGGTCACTGGCAGGCACTCTCGCTTTTTAAAGCAACGTGGCCTTGCCGATTTACTTATGACTGAAGAGGTGGCGCTTGTTGCTCCCGTCCAAATTGGCGCAAAACAATACAGTTATGCGCTCCTTTGAGACCTTGCGGCCGGAGCAGGCTTCGCCTTTCAGGGCAAGCGTGCGGTTGGGCAAAAGGTTATAAAATAAACCAGCTTCATTGGCATTATAATTGTCTTTGTCAGTATAGGGCGACAGCATACTCTCTAAGTTCAAGCGAAGCTATACTTCGATAGACTCGTCGTCGACAGTGCCGCTTTCTCCGCACACCACTTTGCAGCTGATGCCATGGCGATCTTTGAAACGCTAAATCCACCCGTTGAGTGGATTGAAGTCGTTGTGGCCTAAAAGAGCTCCGAGACACTTGGCCTTTTGTTGGAGCATGCGGCCACTTACTGGGATGCTCTGAGCCCTAACTTCGCGGAACCACCTGAACAGCGCTGCGTCCACGTCTTCGTATTTTGACGTACGTATTCTCTTCTGTGACAGGGAAGATGAATCTTGCTGCAGTTGCTGCCGCAGTTTGTCCTTGTTTTTGTAGATGGTCGACACGGTCGTGTCGGAAACGCCGTATTTCGCCGCCACCGACGCCTTCTTCAGGCCACTCTCAATGTCCCTTATGACGCATTCCTTAATCTCCAGCGATAAGGCATGGCGTTTTTTCACACCGCTTGAAGACGCCGCCGATGCCAAGGCGACAGGAGCTACGCAACACACGTGCTCTGGGCTCTCCGACGGCAACGACACGGCGAAGCGCACACAGCAAATCCAAAGAGACAAAAGAAGGAGGTTGAGAAAAAAAAAAAAGCATGCTACCGCTTCTCTCCCCCACCCCGCGCAGCACGCACCCGGATTGGACGCTGCCACGGTCGCCACGGTGACGAAAACACGCTCTCTCCTTCCAAGGTCTCCCCGACTCCCTCCCTACTGTACCCTCTCTTCTGCTCCGCAATGTTTGACTTTTCGCGGCGGTCTCCACGTGCACCCTCCCGCTCACACTCCCAACGTTCCGGCGCACCGGGAATGCCGCCCGGAAACCGTGCCGACTGTGCTCCGTTCGCTGATTTTATGGTCGCGCGCCTGAAAACTCCGCGCTATAACCGGTATTCTCCTTCGCGCGCCTACGCAATAAACGGTCGACCTATACATTGAGTTGTATGGGTGACATATCGGTGGTCAAAAAAACCCACGTTATAACCTGGTCCCGCGCAAAAAGCGGTTACGTTAACTTATAAGTGGTCTGCACTGTATTCCTAATCTAGTGAATGCCACCGAGGTCTTCCGATTTGGAGCAACTTTTGAAGCTACAAAATGTTCATTTTGAAGCACTTTGGAGCAGCAAAATCATCCATTTTGGAGCAATCTGGAGCAGCTAACTTCAAGTCCTGGAGGAGAAGCAAGTTGCATTCACATTCAAGGAGATGAAAAATTATTCTGAGGCTCTAGTAAAGAGCTAAAAATATTTAGATTCATTGCAAATTTCATGAGCCAATCATCTCCGAAGCGCTCCCTATTTCAGTTGATGATGCAAGAACAATGGCGTCATGCTGTCAAGCATTCTGGAAAAACTTGTTCGATGATTATTTCCCTAGCAAATAAACAGAATGCTGAATATATTTAACAAACTACGTTTTTTATAGACTATTTGATAGACTAATTTAGTTCATTATATCCATTTACTAGCCAATTTTACTTCGTTACAACGAGGCTTAAAATGCATGGTTCTCAAGGAAGCTTTCAAGGGGAATTTCATTTGTTTTGTTATACCCATTATTTCATTATATATCATTATGTTATAATGAGGTTTGAGTATCTACCACCGAGACAACGCAACTTCAAGACAGGAAAATGTTTTCTGTGCCATTGTTACGGCAACCAATATGGTGGCTGTCAACACCGGTGTTCGCAGCACGTCGAGCGTGTTTGAGTGCACAAAATGCAGCATACATTTCAAGCTTAAATTCCTAACAAGCCAGAACCATATTTGCTGACAAGAAATCTCCCACGAAGCGTTAGTGGCTGTGGCAACGCATTTTTGTCTTGAAGTTCCATCGTCTTGCCGATAGGTATCAGCTGCGGTCAGCGGACCGATGGGGGCATGCCACTTTATCTGGTAGATCGAGTCTCGCAAGTGTCCTCTCCTAACTAGAATGTAGCTTACACCGTGTTTTAGAGTTAGGGCCTGTGCCCTTGGATTGATTGATGATGCGAACTGCAGGTGACGAAGTGGCCTCCATTTCTCACTGAAATTAGCGTGCCTGAGAAAATTTTGAGGCTGGTTGGGAAGAAGATGGAAAGAAGAGAGCAGAGGTGAGTGATGCCCATTGCCGAGGATGCGATGGGTGGCTTCTGCAGCCGTTTTTCCAATCCAGTGTCCTCAAGGAAGTGGAAGACCTGGAAGGCATGAGTGTGGCAGGAGGTTCCTCGGTGGGAAGGTGGCAAACGAATGCTAAACCGTGGAGGTGAAAGGAGATGAAAAATGTGATGCGATTTACTTTTCAAAAGGCCCTTCATCACCAGAAATTGTAGTTAGACGCTGGAAGTTGTTGCGTGCCCAATGAAGAGCGTTAAAGCACAATAATTTTTCAGGTTGGTTCATCATGAAGTGCGAAACCATGATCTGTCAGGTGCACTCGAGGTTGCACCTGCACAACGTGCCTGAGCCAGGTCGTACTCACGAACCATGTTGGTCATTATGGCATTCTCTGCACGTTTCTGTGGGATGGATCCGGCACGCGTGGAAAGGCTGCCATTACAAATGATGCATCGAAAACG